ATTACTCTAAGTGTATATATACATATGGATGTTTCTACATGTTATTATTTGCTTCCAGGCATATCTGAATAACCTACATGAGCTCCACGAAAACTGGTTAGTCCATCAACGGACTGTGAAGCCACCAGCTCCTGTTCTGGTATGTATACTACAGACAGCACCGCAATGTGCTATAATTGTGTGTGCTATAGTAATACAGATGGAAGCATCAGAAATGTGAGATGCTGAAATTAGGCTACATGTTTCAATTTTACCTGGTCATATTTATAGGGGCAGTTGATGATTGCTGGATTAGAATGATACCTCTAATGATTGTTGCCAGGTGTTGGATGCCAACTCAAACATGGGCGATATGGAGCATGTGTTTGAGGAGCACAGAGAAAAGATCATGGGCCAATCATGATGGCAGTAGATGTGATGAAGAAGAACTTAGCATGTCGCCATGTGCATCATATCAGTTATCACTTAGAGATTTCCTGGCCAGGCCATCCTATAAGTTTAACCATGTTTGATGAAACAGTGAACGCTCGTGGCATGCATTATAGTGGCTGCACTGATTCTCTACAGAAATCATCTAAATGAATTAGTTTCTAGGTCTTTTGTTTCTCTTATAGTTACTTATGTAATCAACTCAGGCATGACTTAGGCATATAATTTTATCAGCCCAGAGATAACTAGGTGTTTTATGTATAACAGTACTGTGTACATATCCTACATAACGGGGGCGGGTCTAGGGGGTCCGGACCCCCACTTTAATTTCAGTGCCCTAAAAAATTAAAAGATAATTTTCTGCTAAAAATTTGGAATTCCATCTTGCAGTTGAATTCTAGACATCAAAATTACTGCTCAGATGCTCTCAGATTGCACCAATTTTTTTTTTTTATTGGGGGAGGTCCCCCCCCCTCTTAAGTGGCTACGTGCCTTCGGCACGTCGCATAAGCTGCCTTAGGCAGCTTATTAAAACACCAACAAAAATTAGCAGGAAAAAGTGCCCTTTATTTCTTCCTGGACGGACTTGCGGCCCCGGTTTTTGCGCGCAGCGCACAGCTCGCGGCAAAGCCGCGCCCCAACAGCGAACAGTGCGCCGCCCCCTTTTTGTCCAGTTAGACAGATACCTTAGACAGGGGTCTGAAAACGCACTCCGCGAAAACTGGGCGCAATCCAACCGACATTTCGGGATGGACGGCTTGAGGCCATCTCTAAATGGCCCCTAAACTTTTTTTGGGGTGGCGCGCCTCATGGCTAAGACGTATTGGCTCCTACAAGGAAACCCAAGAAATGCTGTCAATCAGCGATGAAGCGCGCTCATTGGCCGCTACGCGATGACGGGCGCTACTGCCGAGAAAAACGTTATGTCTATCACAGAGCTTTTTACGAAGTGTCGTACAGCGCTCCACGTGGGGAGGCGCGGTCTAGATGCTAGAAGCATCCAAAAGCGATGCCGCCGTGGCGGCGCCAGCTGCGTACGTGCCATGTTTCGACCAACCTTTTGACCCCGCGCTGCCCGTGGCAACGGCACGTCGTGCGAGCACCTGCGCTGGCGTGGCCGGCGAATACTGCGAGTACGTGGTGGCGTGGCTGTGCCAGTTTTTGTACGTAGCTAATCGTAGATACTGGCCAAGCAGCAGCAGCAACAAATACTCGCCCATGCCGCGCAGCGCGCAACAAGCAAGCAGCAGCAGCAGCAAATGCCCCCACCCAAAACCGCCCCCGTAGTCGAGCCGGTGTAGGTGTGACGAAAACTGCGCGATGTTACGCTTCCCGCTATACGGATTCGCGCGCCCGCCCTCCTTCGGCGCACGAATTCGTATAGCGGGCAGCGCGAGATGCTACATACAACACACCACGGTCGCGTGCGCCCAGTCCCGCGGAAGTGAGCGGCTTAACCGCTCTTGGCGGTCGGGGAACAACGCATCTTTTGCGCAACGCCATCTTGTACCCGGTCTCTCTGGACACCCCTCCTTTCAAAAATCCTGGATCCACCCCTGCATATTTAATTTAGTACTACTACTACTAGAAGTAGTATAGACCCTTTTACCACATTATAAATCAATCACATTTTGTTTTAATGTTCCAAAGACTAATACCTAACTTAATACGGCCCAAGGATAGAGAACATGGGTACCAATAAAACCAATGTGCCTAACCCTAACCCTAACCCCAATCCTAACCTACCTCATAACCTCATAAGTGATAATCTTCAAAAGTCCTGGAGACTATAACGAAGATGGAGAGAGTGGATCAAGTCGGTAGATCCACACTGCGAATCGCAGCGGAAAAAGTTGTGAATTTGCTATTTACCAAGGATGAAGGCAGTGAATTCCAATACGGAATCACAGAGACAAAGAAGCTAAACTTAAAGGGATCCTTAGAAGTTTGTACATGCCGAAAACAGTGATCACGCTCAGATGAGCGGGTGCAGCGAACAGGCTTCATTAAGCAAGAAGGAATGCCAATTTTCATCTCACCATGATAAATTTTATAGAAAGTTATGAGTTTTGAGTGAAGAAAGCGGACACGAAGGGGAGGCCATTCAAGACGAGCCAAAACAACATCAGTACTATCATCATAGTTTCTGGAGACCCATCTCGCAGCTTTATGCTGAATGGTGTCCAATCTAGAGCAGTTCTGAAGTCTATAGGGGCACCAGGCTGGTGAAGCATATTCTAATATGGGCAGAACCATAGTTTTGAAAGCTAGGGACCGAGTTTTAGAGTCAGCAAAGCTAAGATTACGCCGTAGCATGCCGAAAGATCGGGACGCTTTCTTACAAATGTAGTCAATGTGGGCATTCCAGCGAAGATCGTTACCTAGTAGTAGTAGTAGTAACCATAACTCTAGATACAATAATGTAACCCAAACCCAAAAGGATAGGGACCCCTATCCTCTTGGGTTTGGGTTACATTATTGTATCTACCAAGTACCATAACTCTAACCTATTAGTATTAGTATTAATATTAATATTATATTAATTGTTGTTGATATAATATTATATTTATATTGATGTAAATGACATTGGTTTTATTGGGACCCATGCATGGTCTCTATCCTTGACGTATTTATATGTTCACGCATTACATATAGATGTAATTAATAAATTATGTTTACCTGTCAAAATTGCAACTTTTATGCACGGAACTTCTACCTTGGATGCCATGATTGCTCCTTAGACTTGTACCCGTCCCTTCTCACAAGATCGATTTAGGCCTATATCAAGCTTCTGAGAAGGGACGGGTACAAGTCTAGATTGCGCTTGTATCGCTACGCAGCGTCGTCGAGATATTTGTTTAATAAATTGTCTGTTATAGTTACTACTGGGTATTTTTATTATACGTGACAATATATATAATTGGACGCAAATACAATTCTATATCCTGTTTATGATTTTATTCTCAAGAATACTTGTGGGCAAAATAAACACTCCGAGCGACAGGCGCTGCTCGCTGCAGAGACGGGAATCGGGACTTCAAACTTTATTTGAATTTAATGGCTATTAGTGACATAAATACAGTTCAAAAACGAAGCGGGCCCATCTAAATTTACAACAAATCGTGTGCAACCACCTCACGGATATCCGTGAAAAACCATACGTAATCGTAGCCTGATATGGCGCTACTATATGCTTCAGTTATTACAGATATTACAGGAGGTTTCGAAGCGCAGGGTATGGCGTGGGTGGATGGCTACCATCATAAGCAGGATATCGGTGGTGCAACGTCACGCATTCATTCGTTTGGAAGCAGACCTTCACGATGCATGGAAACAAAGTCCTTATACTAGGCGTTGTGTTAGCGTTTAATATTGTAACATCTTTAGGAGATGAAGCAGGAACTGGTACTTGTTTTAAAGAAAATGACTCTTGTGTGTCGAAATCATCAGAAGATCAGGATAATATTAATAATGATTCTACATTCCGACTGAATGATGCTGGTAGTGGTACTAGAGTGGAAAGTCGATCAAATAGTAACGATTCGTCTAGGAATAAATCAGAAAACAATGTGACAGATATTAACAATAATAACATCAAGGTAGATGCGAAGAACAAGAAGAAGCATTCCAAGCATATTGATGGGAGTGCAAACAACCCTCACAGTGATGTGTGCGTTTTTAGACCACCGAAGCCTCGATATCCACTGTCCAGGTCTCACCATTTCAAGGTTTGTGATGTAATTACACACATTCACATTGGGTACCAACTGGAATGATATTGTTTTAGGCTAGCTAATTAATTCCCATTACTAGGTTTTAAACATACGTATACTGCGTGTATAACTATTATCATGCTATATAGTAGCTCCAAGAGACGGTCTTTGCTAGGGTTAGGAGCCCTCTTGTGTCGACGTTAGTCACACAGCCTGGTCGAGCTAACTAGTAACGCTCAAGGTGTCGTTGTCGTAACAGGTACGTACTACAGATATGTACCCGAGGTACATATATGTATACACAAAGTGTACCAGACTTGTACTACAGAAGTGTACCCTAAACCTAACACTAACCCTAACCCTAACCCTAACCCTAACTCTAACCCTAACCCTAGCTAACCCTAAACATACCTCATATAAAAATTTAAACATTTAATATTAAACAACCTAAAACTACCTCGGGTACATATCTGTAGTACCTGTTACGACAACGACCCTTCGTGCACTAGTAACTGTATAGTATTAGCTCTAGTAACTATACAGTCTATAGCCCGCGTAAAGTTGCCGCCTGCGGCAACTGTACGCGGGCTATAGTTAATAGAGCTAGTATAGTATATAGTTATTTGATATTCCATATCATTGGTTTCCATTCATATAGGCCTATTGGTTTCCACCATATCATTCCATTGGTTTAGTATTCCATTTGTTCATGGCAGTACGACATGGGCAAATATGATTACATAATTTACAGCAGTTGCGTAACACTAACTAATAACTCATTAACTGTGTAAATCCTAGCGGGGTAATCATAATTTGCTATATCATTGTTTAGTTTCGTCATTAACGAATAATCAGCATATTTTCTGAATTATATTCTACTAGATTATAGTGTTTGTAATTGTAAGTTACCATACTGCCACCTATTGTAGTGTCCCCCTTCCTTCCTCTCTCGGTTTCACTCTCGCCTCCCCCCTCTATCTCGCTCTATCTCTGTCTGTTTCTCTCTCATACACACAATCATATCACAATGAACTCTTTTCTTACTGGTTTACTGGTAATACACCTACCTAACATAAACTAAACCCAACTAACAGACGAACTAATACATTTATTTGTTATTCTGTGAATTGATTTTAAAATTTGAATTTAAATTTCTCGAACAATATATAAAGTAATTTGTATTTTTATTAATTAATTTGAAATGTTTTAAATTGATTTAAAATTTTCTATTTGAAATGTTTGAAAATGATTTTTGAAGTGGATGGCTTTCCATAGTGTAGGGAGCAATCTTTTTTTACAATATAGCAATTTTCTTCTTTTCTTTGCAGCCGGCATTGAGCTTTGGACACTTGCTCTTGCATGATCCACCGATGGAAGGGCCGCTAGAACTGGCCACCTTCGGGCTTGCCTGATTTTGGCACCCCGAGGCACAGTTTGGCTGTGTCTCGGGGGTAGTGCGCACCAGGGTAGGGTACAGCGGTGGAAACACCGAGGACCCCACGTACCACAACCTGTGAGTCTGTGCAGCAATTATGAAAAATACGATTGTGTATCGAGTTAAGAGTTGTCGTAATTGATTAGGCTCAGCAGATTACCGACGGGTAGATTTTTCACCGTACTGGAAACTGTGAGATAGTTGATGACTATTCTTTTCTCACAGTGGCGATCACACAGAGAGCATACAAATGGAGTATGATCCATCAACCACCACATTTGAAGACTTGCTCAGACTGTTCTGGAAATTTGCTGATCCATTTACTTGTCAGAAGAGGCAGTACATGTCAGGTATATACCTTACCGTATCTTTTCCTCACAATATGTTTACGGATAGCTTTTATAGTGTGAATAAAGCTGATGAAGGATCTACATACATACCTACGTGCGTGCGTGCGTGCGTGCGTGCGTGCGTGTGTGCGTGCGTGCGTGCGTGCGTGCGTGCGTGCGTGCGTGCGTGCGTGCGTGCGTGCTTCCTATTTACATGTGGGGGGCATATATGCACAGCCATGGTTTACCCTTAAGACAGAATGAGTCATCATGTGTAATAAGCTCCCTGCCTCGCTTCACTTGTTGCTGTAGCTTTCATTTTAATTTCTAAAATTCTTACCTGTTATCAAGCTGCAGACTGGATCTGTGGAAAATCAAATATGACTCTAATAATGACTTATCCTTGCAGTTATATTTTATCACACGGAGGAACAGAAGCAGAAGGCAGAAGAGAGCCTGGCTAAAATACGAACCGATAGCCCTCAAGACATTGTGACAAAAATTTTACCCGCAGGAAAGTTCTACAAAGCTGAAGAGTAAGTGTAGGGTGTGTGCAGTGGTAGTGCATACCTATCAGATCTCTTCTATGGAAGACTTAATGGTCACGAGGATATCTTGTTAACCCAGTTATATCCTTCTAACTCTTGACACTGCAACTAACTTAGAACCACATGTCTACGTGTAATGCTAATTCTACAATCATACTTCCACACATAATGCTAAACTTACAACAGTGTGTCTACACCTGATGCTAAAGTTACAACCATATGTGCATATATATATATATATATATATATATGAAGTATTGCAGAAGTTAACACTCTCGCCGCCGTTCGAAAAAACCAAAATTTAAAGGGTTTATCTCTCCCCTCCACTGCAGTTATCATCAGAAGTACCTTCTCAAGCAGCACAGCTGGCTCGTGAAGAGCCTGGACCTGGACGAGGACGAAGTAGGCATAGTGAAGTCTCACGTCGCCGCGCGGCTCTCTGCCTACGTGAGCGGCTTCGGCACACACCAGGGCTTCCTCAAGGAAGCGAAGGTTCTCGGCCTCGACAAGGATCAGATCGACTACATCGTCGAGGAGATGGGGTGGTAGACGTACGCCGGCCGCGCTTGTGGAGGGACGGCGCGTTCTCTGTGCAGAGATCGATCCTCACTCCAAACGGATGCAGGGCTCGCGTGACGAGGTCCGGAGTAGATAATGGTGGAGGAGGTGGGGGGCGTGCAGTCAAACCTGTACGTAAGTAACTGGATGTTTTGAATGAAGCACCAAAATGATTGATCTTTGTAAACAGGTGACCGTTCTATAGAGGTCGTTTTACTGCATAATTGTCACTCATAGGAAATGACAGAAGAGTGCTTTGTAGGCAGATGTTCCATAGAGGTGTCCACTAACACAGGTTTGACTGCACTAGCATACCTCGTTCAACGACTGGCATCAATAATAGCGTCGGCGGATATAAGTTTGTTAGTTGGATATGGATCAGGAATTAATAATATTTTGTCATTATTAATTGCTGATATGGATGTATGAATATTGATGTCTGTTATCTACTCCTGGTGATACCTCTGAGGTTGGAGGCACTGCGGTGGGAGCATACAGGCGATTGAGTTGGAGTTGTGAGGATTGGACACTTGAAAATTGAACGTCTCGTGGAATTTTGCTATTCGTTCAATGTTTAGCATTGCCATATTCCAGTGAGTTTTAAGGGAGCAGGAATTATTTAAAACATTAGGTAATTATTTTCACAGAGATGGATGAAGCTCGTTGGCTGTGTTAAGAGTCGCACAATTCACATGAATCTATAAGGAAAAGATCTGTGCCCTTTTGACATGTCATTACTAGCAGGTTCACTGGCAACTGTTATCACTGCCTATATTTATTTAGTGATAAGTGAAGCCAAAAAATGTATTGCCACTCTCTGAAGTAAAGAAAGTCAGTCTGGCTTTTATTTCTAAATAATTAAATTACTATAAAAAACAGGGTTATCATGGCAGAGCTAGCAAGCATACAAATCTACATTTCATACCAAATGCGTGAGTGCGCGATCACGTGGTGAAATACATTAGTTGGTATAAAAATAGTGTAATGCACCATTTGAAGGGAGTGAGCTGCTATTAGTGTAGAACTGTGCTCTTATATCAATAGTTTGGTCAAGGTGGGCAGGAATGTCACGTGATTAACCGGTACACGACAATATATCCATCGTAGAGAGAATGTGATTTACAATCAGCATGAGAGGTAATAGCAGTGTACTTGCTCGAGAGCTTGCGCATGCTTATTTATTCATAATTTTATTTCTTTACATTTACCTTTTAAAGTTATAATAGCAGTAACGCATATTTTATCGCCATGGTCTCGTCCTGGAAAGACGTTTTACAATTTACATGAATCGGATTGGGTAAGGTCACTGTATTTTACATGTTGATGCACGTGTAGTGATGTACATACTTATTTGTACGTGTGAGCACGACCATATTTGGAATGGTATTTGCGTCGTCTACCCGGTGTTTCACATCAGTTCTCACAGTCACAGCTACAAACTTGTGCATTCTATTGGCATTTATATGTGGGTTACAAGCATGATTATGATCTCTACTGGTATGATAATGTGTCGATATTTATATTATTTGTGTAATATTTTGTAGCTGTTCTATTATATCTATATAACAGGATCAGACTCTGGGGCCCGTTGTCAGAAACGAAATTAGTTTTAACATTAGTCTTAACATTAACTTTACGATGTTTCTGACAACTGCTCCCTGATCATTAGATTCGCGCGTGTCCATTGATTCTCGTGCGTGAATCGTCCCCACTAACTTATCGGCACCTAGTCAATATTGTGATATTAGTATTGACGTCGGTGGCGCCATCTTTTGCTAATGAGGAGTACCGGTGTCACAAAAATCAGTGTTGTGCACGTTTCACTGTGTGACTTGCTCGTAAGCCTCACATGTGGGACACAGGGCACTGAATGTTGCCTAGAACTGCACCATTGCCTCCTGGTGACAGGTTAGTATCTTAGCTTTAGATTTAGGAAATTAGCTGCCGCAGCTAAGCTGTGTGTAATGTGTACGTGGTGTGTAATGTCCTATGTGTGAGCAGGAAGGAGAAGGGCAATGTCTAGCAGCCGACGCGTGTAGGATGGGGTTTCTACACCGACGCCTAGCTAGGTTCGTCAAGACAGCCTGTCGCATCGTGTCGCCGTGTACGTCGCTACTATATGATACCCGTAGGTGTAAAGCCGTGAGCCTTCGGGTTGATGTTTGACTGTGGTGGCGTACATTCACGCACGGAGCGACTGCGCTGCGTTGCATCTTTTCACGGTTACGCGAATGGGGTTAATTTTATTTTAAATAAAATTCATTTATGTACACAAACTCCGTTTATTGGCTCGTATTTGCATCGATTGCACTTTCTGTTGTTTTATTCTGCTACGTGCTACTCTGTTGTTATGTAACGTATAATTAAGAGTTCATGTAGAAATGATGAAGTAGAAATCCAAACTTGTGTGTTGAACTGCATAAACTTTAATATCTGCTCACGTCACATCTCCTTGCACACGGGTACAAAGCAACGCGCACACGCGCGTAAGTGCGTGCGCTTTCTCCCGCGACCACAACCAGCCTCCCGACTTCTACATCTCTGTCCTATATAGATGCGCGAAGCTCTGTCTACAATAGACTACCACTAAAACAACCCCTAGTCTAGCTCCGCTGACTAATTCATGCAACATCTGTAAATCATATGTTACATCATCTCCCCCTTCCCCAAGACGATGACTACCCTGTCATCGATTAAGCGTCCTCGCTGATCTACACTTCAACCTAAACCTAAACCTAAAAAATACATATGGTTACAAATACATAACAATAAAGTTCGATCACCATACAAGTCAGAAATTCAACACATTTGGCAGTGAACATTTTGATATCTCATTCCTGCGTCTTTTTATGCTGTAACGTATGTTGAGGGGGGGGGTCGGGTATTTTCGGGACGCGGGATTGGCCATTTTAATTACCTGGGAACTGGGAAATGTCAGATAAATTTTTCGTGATTCTGGAACAGAAGTCCATCGGGACGTGGGAAAGATCCTCTAAAATTGTCCGGGATCTGGGAAAGTGTGTCAATTCGTCGGGATTTCAATTTCTGCGCTAATATTTTTAATACTTGATTTACTGTAGTCTGTACCGTAATTAATGTGTGCTTAATTGTCTTGATAGAGTTTGATACAACCCTCGAATATTGTGTGTATGACTGCGTCATATAACATGCTTGTACATGTAGGCGACAAAGCCAATACATCATACAAGTGTCTACCGGTCCGTACCGGATATAGACTAATTTAGACTGGTGCATAGTTGACTGTCGCTGCTCATCGCTCTACGTGGCGTATGCGTATACCGACACGCATTACCGAAACCACGTTTAGCCATGTGTAGTGCTCCATTACATCCTCATTTAACCCTCTTAATCCCATTATTACACACAGCACCGATGTGGACCTGACAACCTTTGTCACTTCCACACATCATACAGCCAAAAAAATACGAAAAACTGATTTCAGATTTTCGATGAAATGCTTTAGGCCTATCAAACTCTAATTAAAGAATGTGTTTAGCAGTCTGACAATATAGCGTAAACGTACAGTTACGACAAATTTAAGAAAACGATCACAAATTTCTACACAAAGTTTTACACAAAATATTTTCCCACACAAAGACAAACGGTCAACCATGAACACAATACCGCGTACATAAAACAACGAAAAATAGATAAAAACACGCACTCCTGATGATGTCACCCTTTCACGTCCAGTTTCGACGGCACGAGATTAAAGCTTTCACCAATGAAATTCTTGAATTCCCTGGATTTTCTTTTTTTGCCATTACTGAACTTCCGTCGCAATTTATCTTTTACGTCTGTCTCTGCTCTGTCAGCCTTGCCTTCTCTGTTCTGCTCTCCTCTCTCTCTCTCTCTCTCTCTCGCTCTCTCTCTCTCTCTTTCTCTCTCTCGCTCTCTCTCTCTCTCTTTCTCTCTCTCTCTCTCTCTCCTCTCTCTCTCTCTCTCTTTCACATAGGTCGAGACTCGGACTTGCTCTCGCACTATCACGGATGCAACACCGGCCCTTCCTTCCTTCACTTTGACTTACTCACACAGTTCTCACGCCGTGTGTATCCACCGTTCTCTCTCCCGCGTCTCGCTCTGTTCCTCCCGTCTCGCTCTGCGCCATTCTTCGTCTCTGTCGATTGCTCTCCGTCGTTCTTCGTTTCTCCTACTCTTGCTCCTGTTCCCGTCTCTCTATCTCTCTCTTTCTCTCTTCCTCCGTCTCTCTTGCTCTCTCGTCCGCTCTCCGTTTCTCTCTCTCTCTCTCCAGTTTTCTTGCCAACGGTGTACCCAGCGATTCTTCCTGTGGCTTCTTCCTTCTCCATCTTCCTTGCGTAGTATGGCCCGTAGATCGGCATAACGGATCGAGTACCTTACGTTGCGTCCGCAAAGGAATACCCAGGTTTTTAACTGTCACTGGAACCAAAATGTAACGTATAATTAAGAGTTCATGTAGAAATGATGAAGTAGAAATCCAAACTTGTGTGTTGAACTGCATAAACTTTAATATCTGCTTACGTCATATCTCCTTGCATACGGGGACAAAGCAACGCGCACACGCGCGTAAGTGCGTGCGCTTTCTCCCGCGACCACAACCAGCCTCCCGACTCCTACATCTCTGTCCTATATATTACCCCCAAAACCCCTACATCCTAAGCGCACATGTCACCCGTTCTCCCAGACCGCGTTCTACCTCCATTTCACAATGACCCTAGAAACGCCCGACCTAAAACACGTTTACCATTCTCCCTATAACATCAATCTAGCCGCACAAGATGCGCGACGCTCTGTCTACATAGAGGAAGAGGATGAGGAGGGCGAATGTAAAGGAGGGAAGAGTATATACGCCTTAGTCTTACACGCGGCGTCGCCAGCTCGCTCATTACGCGTGTGATTTCAGAACGGAGAAACGGTGGTTAGCGTGAGAAGTGGAGCATCGATGGTGTTTCCGGCCATCAACTACATGCTGGAGTATCCAAGGCCGATGCTGCCCAACGTCCAGCTAATTGGTGGCTTGTTGGCCGGACCGGTTCGCGACCTCGACGTAAGACACCAATGTCACTCCGGCGCCAATAGATATTCTAATGCTTACAGGTCTTACGGGAATTTCCAAGACTCGGTCACTTTGCCCAAGGGAGTTCTCAAGGGGAGCATAATGTAATGATTCAGCTAAGTGATGATGAGTACTGGACGAACTTTCGCTGAACGTGCACAGTGTATCCGGGAGGGTCCAAGACGAGTGGCTCCGGGATGACTAGCCGATGATTCACACTTATTTAAGGGTTATGTACTCTATTTTATCAATCTTATAATGTATTTTCCCCCAAAATCTAAGGGACAGCTGTACCCCTTGCCCTCCTTCCCAGAGTCTACGTCACCGGAAGTAGTGTAATTTAGTTCGTATTTTCGTTGTCGTGTTGGCATACATGTGTCAATGTGTTGCAATCTTTCACAGTGGGTGGAGCCGTACATAGCTGGTGCGGGAGAGAGGCCCGTCATCTTCGTGTCGTTTGGCACGTTAATTTGCATCGTCGATGGAGTTTCTACCCAAGGTACCGAGTCAGCACTCCGCAGGCACTAAAAGCTTACTGGTTGTTTCTCATACTTAGGCTGAGAGGGTCTATGTCCCCCAGGGTACTGTCGGAACGTACCCTGGGTACGGTCCGGTATACCGGAACGTACCCTGGTACTATCTAATATGCCGGACCGTACTTCGAATACTCCACAAACGAGTCTAGGGAGTCGCCTACGCCTACTCCCTAACCCTAACCCTACCCCTAGCCCTACCCCTAACCCTAACCATATCAGATAGTTACCAGGGTACGTTCCGGCAGTACCCTGGGGGACATAGACCCTATGAGCCATACTTAGTGATAATCCGCCGGTACCAGAAGGGCAATGGCTGCCCTTCTTACTTGTTGACACTCCGCTGATACGGAAGCGTTCTGTCAACCAAAGTGTTTACTTTCCACAAAACAGCTGCATAATCTAATTATCTTATACAGGTCGGTTTTTTAATCTACCTTCTTGAATACACCATATCTGTTTGTATGTACTTGGATATCTGAATCTGCACGATTGTGCACTTGTCTATCTGTGGCTTATCATCGGCTCAATTTAAGGCGTTGACTAAATTAACTTATATGTGCACGTGACTTGCTGATGACCTTACATTTGCAGGAAGTGTTTCATGTGTTCTTGGAGACATTTGAAAGTCTCAGTGATTACTTCTTTGTTTGGACAATTAATCGCAATTTACCACAGAATGACATATTGGGCAGGTGTCCGATAGATGGAAAAATGACGCACGCGTGTGCGCACGTGTGTGTACGTGCGTAGGCTTATACATGCGTGCTTCCGTACGTGTGTGCATAACATCATGATGCGGGCGGGCGTGTGCGCGTGCGTTTCAACTCTATTTTCTCAGTACCTATAAAGGTTATACGTCATCATCTCACGCCGTAAATTTCAGGGCACCCACAGACGCTACTAATATATCTCAAAATGTTCATTACACCTCAGGGTACCTACACACACAATCACGAACGCCGTTATGTACGGCACATGCAGTTATGTGTAGGCGCTTAGAGATATGAATGGAGGAGTTACGTATATACACACATATATATTTATTTACAATCATATGCGCGTATGCACACATTCGTATGTACGAAATGCACACACAC